AGAGTGCAGTGCTAGGAACAGCTATGATACTGTGCAGAACCCTCAAACTCCCAAGCCTCTGGTAGAGGACCTGAGACTGAGGAAGACACATACCATCCATAGGGGTGGGAGGGGGGAAAGAGAGAGAGAGAGAGAGATTGGACATGCAATGCACATAAAAAACAGGCATAGCTTCAAGCACACTTCATGTACGGCTAGGGTATTTTTGGTCATATCCTGTGGACACCCCTGCCTGGTTAATACCTGGACAGGATAGCACCAGGAAATTTCTAGGCTATAGGTGAAACTGAGAGGTTGAAAAATAACATGGAGAAAGGTAATAACCAATCATTTATACAGCTGCCAAGCAAACTGCACATAGTTGTCAGGAATTTTCTTCAACTGAGGTATGTTTACCTTCTTTTCCTCTAGTATCATGACAATCCTCTGCAAATTAAACCAGTACTTGTTGTATGAAAACACAACAATCTGCAAATGAAGCCCATGTTTGTGATATGAAATTGCAAGTCTTTGCCAGATAAACCAGCGTTTGTATTTAGAGATCACAAAACTCATTTAACTAAGCACAGTTTACAAAATGAAATCACAAGAATTTGCCGTTAAAGCACTGTTTGTGATATGAAATTAATAAAAAAAAAAGTGTGATTCACTCTAAGGAATGCAATCTATGAATCACCATTAGAAGCAGCCAATTGTTAAAACTATTGAACTGCATCTTCTAGAAACTACCTAAGCAGTTTAGCATTTGAGCAACTCACTCGCCCATATAGATTGGATGCAGTTAAGTTCTTGTTGAACTTTGCTATATTTCTATATCCTTTGGTTACTGGAATTTGCTTCTCCATGACTGGTTGTACTTATTCTTCAGATATGACTCCTGGGTTTGATTCTTACTTTACTTCAGACTGTTGTCCCCAGTTCACCTCTGATGGTAATTAGGGGAAAACAGGCTATGATAATATGTTCATTCAATCAAAATGTATAATTAATATGCCCAGGTTTGAGTAACCAGTTGCAGCAGGTAGCAGTGCTACTTTGATGGGAATCAATCAGAAAATACCATGGTGGTAGCTAGACTGGGAAATCAACAAAGGAGGCAACAGTAAATATTGCTGCAAATAGAATTACATGGATGTGTCCATGCAGTTATCAAGAATGCTGTCTGAGGAAGCCTTTCTCTTTACCATGTAGCTATTCTGGCTATGCAAAGCCTTTGAAAAATGATGCTTTCCAACAACAGGAGCACAAAAAAGTTTAAAGTAGCTGTATCTTTTGCAAGGCTCTTGCAGTTGTTTTGGAAGCTGCTCCCAGTTTTCTCCACATCAATGTGCATGCACAGCCAGTTGGCTTCACTTTCTTCTCAGTGCATGAATGAACATGTGTATGCTCAGTTTTACAAGTCCTCTTCTGGTGTTAGGAAAAATCAATGTATAGAGGGAAGAATGCATACTCCAGTTTCATCCTCTCTATCCCCAAGCTCCTAGGCTGATGGCAAAGGTTGGAAGTGATTGTGTCATTTTGTGGATTTCAGTGCTGTAAACAATTTCCACAGGATCAGGAATCTTGCAGAATCAAGGCACAATGCGGCTACACTATCACTTCAGACCTCCCTGTAAACATGTTAAGATCAGGGTAAATAGGTGGTGTTAGAACTCCTCCCCGGACACGGCAATAAATCTCTCAGGACACAAGACATGCTGATGAACTTAGAAGTGGAACAGTCAAGGATGTGTCCCAGAAATATCCATTCCTTTTATTGAGAAAGAAGCCTTGATAACAATGAATATCAATTATTCCAGAATCTAGGAAGATAGCCTTATTTCTCTATCAGCTTCAGGGCTTCTCTTTTCCCCATCATTAAGTGACAATGGACATTTTTATGCCTGATCCTCAGCCTTCAGTGCACCTGAGGGCACCAAACAAGGTAACGGTCTGGTTTGGTCTCTGACTCTTTCCTTCAGGCCTTGCTGGCTTCAGCTGAGAACATACATCCCAACCTCTCCTTCACATTTTCTGTTTCCTGATGCCTTGCAGAAGATTGCATATATATATCTATTTTCAGGGCATCAAAAAGTCAGGATGGCAGTCACCACTGTGCGATTGAAGTCCCACCCATTTTTTACACGTATCACATGTGTGATGCACAAAAATGCACAGCCACAGCCACCATCTTGACTTTTTTGATTCCCCCATGGATGCCCCTGCCTACTTGAATATTCATATAATATATTTGCATGACTATAAACTAAAAGGATGTCTTGCAGATCAAAACAAACATTCAGATTTGTACCAATGAAACACTTAGGCAGCTCTGTTAAGCTCTTTGTGATATCATGTTAATGCGATTGGTAATAGTATCCTCTATGTATAAAGATGATGGAGTGAATATGGTAGTGTTCTCTGCTTTCTGAAATGGGATCACACAGAAAAAGGAGAGGACCTGTTTTCTTTCATACAATACAAGCCATGGAATAATGCACTTAATTAGAGGAAGACAGATTCTGAATGAATATACGGGGGAAAAAACACATCCTAACAATAAAAGCAGCTTGATGGTGAAACCAATGACAGGCTCACCTTCAACTATCTGTCAGGCCTATTTTACTTACTTACTTACTTACTTACTTATTTATTTATATTTCAAATTTAGACACCACCCATCTCAC